TTTTTTTTTTTTTTTTTTTTTTCTACTATTCTTTATTAAAGCAGAATATGACAAAGGACGGTACGGCAATAATGTGGACAATTCACGCGGAAATGGAAGATTTTTACCATCTGAATGTTAAATTTGAGATACTCGAAATGAAGTTGATCGGGGAATGGTTAACAAGGAATTCGTATTTTGTTTCATCGACAAACTTCCGACAGGAAAAAGATCGCGTCGATAACGATACTATGGGAGAAAAAAAATGTTTGCGTCGTTCAATGATTGATCGGAACGTAATGTTCTTTTGTCCGGATGAAAAAATTTTTTAAACGGTAAAAGAAAAAAAGAAAAAGAAATAGAAAAAGAAAAAAAAAAAAAAAGAAGAAGAAGAAAAGGATGCAACTCGCGGAGCAATTACTCGGCAGCGCGATTCCAATGCTGACCAACCTGGTCATACTGTTGTACATTTGTCAACGCGTAAGCCTACTAATCTAATTAATCGCCACCTGTGAATCGAATAAAAATCAAAAAAAAAAATTCATTAACCACGATAAATACCCTTACAGTTTTTAGCGGCTACGATGTTGCGACGCAGGATCATCGCTGAGATGAGAGAATTTTCCACGATCGTAACGTATATTCGATGGTGATCCGATCGATCGTTCGATCGCACGCCAATTCCCCTCCCCTCCCCCCTAGCTTTCCGTGTGTCGACAGGTCCGTCGGGCGCGCGACAACCTCCGCTACATCGGCGAACGAGTGACCAAGGGAATGGACGAGGTGAGTATACGCGCTACTAATCTAATCTAATCTTCAGGAAATGAATTTCCATCGTTTTTCTTCCCCCCCTCCCTCTCAGATCAAGGAGGATATCGGAAAGGAACTTCGAGTCACCGATCGGTTGACGACGCAGAGTTCAAAATTGGAGATGGTGTTACGACGATTTGCGAGTCTCGAGGAGAACGTGATCGAGGTATATACGGTTATAGATATCGAGAATCGGTATCTTTCTCTCACCGGACCGATGGTGAACAGATGGTGAGAATG